ATAAGATGAATGGTGACATATCTCAAAAGGCGAATCATTTTTTTTCCAGCACGACAATCTTGTGACCCATCTACATCACGCACATACATATGATATATATACATACATACTTACACAAATTCAAATTATATAACAACAAGCATTTTTGGATAATAAATCAACACTACTTTTTAATGGACAATTTATAAATCGACCAATGCGACAATTTTGTAATCGCTCTATTTTCATGTAATCGATTTTGTGCACTTTTGGGAGAAACGGATCCCAGAAGCTTTCTTGAGTCTCCCCAAAACTGGCTCACTGATTGGTCAATATCAACCAATCAGATTGTCTGCACGTGAAGAACAATTCTTCCCGCGCAGCGATTCAGAGCCGATGATCACCTATATAAGCAAGAAATATTCTCAGATAATTAGTGAGATTTCAGCTGCTAAACGAATCCACAACAGTTGAAACCATGCGCCAATCTTCTCATTCACACCAGCACTCACATGCTGAATATTCACTTACACTCACAATCTTTTTTTCCTTACACAGCAAAACTGTTGAAAACATTTATTACCAGAAACTATCACAAACTTTCTTTCAGTGAACTTTGGAACACAAATAATAGTTAAAGAGAGACAACTCTTGTTTTACTAAATGCATGCCTTTCTTTCACATCCTTGTTTGTACATCTTGTTAAATACAAATTCTATGTGTAATGATGTCTTTGGCTTATCCTCTTTCTCTTCATGTCAGTTTGGTTTCCTAATCTAAGTTAAATTAATGTGGTGAAGTTCGCCACAAAATCCTCAAGGCACTTGATGTAGGGCTCCGTGTTGTGTTTGAGGCTCTCACCAACAAATTCGGGAGTTTTTTTTTTTTTCTTGTCAGAACGATCAGAATGAATTTTCCGAGCTGCCGTACCTTCGTAATCACCATTAGACTCATCCAACTTTTTCCGAATCCTATTCACTGTCCTCAGATTGACACCCAAACACTCTGAAATGTTCGTATTGGGACTTCCGACGCAAATGTCAAGTAGTACAGCATGTCGTTTCCAAATTTCTGGCAGAGTAAATTGCGTCATGGCGTTCTTTTTCTCACAGACGGTGCCCAACAGATCCAACTATATTGTGCAGTCGACAAAATCAAAAACAAACCGCACGCATGCGCGAAATTAAAAATATAAAATGGCGACAATTTACCTATCGCACCATGTAGATTCATTAACAAGTTTATTTATAGATTTGAATAGACAAAGAAAAACGAAAGGAGTTAAAAACAAGATAAAAGGTCAATTAAAGGGAGATAACCGAAAGAATTAATCAGAGTTATTTCCTTTGTATTGTTAAGTTTCCTTTTTCGTTTTTCATTACCTACCAAAATATGAATGATTTGGATGGCGCTAAAAACACAAGTTGGAACGAGAGAAAGAGAGAGTGTGAAAAAAGAAAATAAAAAGATAAAAACAGTGCAGGGAAAAGAAAGGGAAGCTGATATTTTGAGAGTCTGTATAAAAAAAGAAAGTATTGCCGTTACAGTTATAATTAAAATTTTACGCTCCCTTCAATTCTAACCTACCCTTCTATTCTATTCTATTCCTAAAAGTAGACGGTTGTGGCTCTCCACATATCAGTGAAATACACTGAACTTTTGGTATGGAATGGTTTCCCAATGCCTGGTTGGTATTGAAGTCTAGAGATACCATTCTACCCTGCTATTTTTAGTTCAGGATAATCGAGATAGCGTCATGCCTTTCTCAAGGTAAGAGTGAGAAATGAATGCAACAGACGTGACCGGGATTCGAACTGGTTTCGTTTGGCGATACCATTTTCTGGAAATTCTTCCTTACCACTAAACATCAATCTCCCTCCCACCCGCAATTCTTAAGTAGTTCTTCGAGTTTTCTTCTAAAATCCAAAAGAGAAAATGAAATATCGAATTGTTGCAGGAATCTCTCTTCCACAGATTCTACGAACACTCCTAAAGCAACTCTGTAAAAAGTAAAAACCTACTTGGAATTACCATCTGTAATCTTCGCCTCAAAAATACCGATTCTTTCTCCTCTTTTACAAATTCTCTACCTGATCCCCCACCACTCTTTTTTTTTATTATTGTCCCCAGTTCTTTGGGAATCTCAGAGTTAAGATGCCATAAAGTAGGGACCTCCACTTGGTCGCGTAAAAAAACAGCATAGCATAATGAAAAAAGGCCCCTTCAATAAAAACAAAGTTTTGTCATTAAAATTTTTGTTATTATTAAGAAAGCCGAACGTATTTTTTATTATTGTTTGAAATTTTTTACTCCTTTGGAGCACGTTCGAAATTTGGGTGAAAAATCTTGTTTTTTTTTTTTTTCTTGCGGTGGGGTGGGGGGTGCGTCAGCGACGGACCAAAGATAAAGGTTAGGTATTTTGTTTTTTGCTTTATTTTGGGTTTTTTTTGGCGGGGGGGGTCGCTTTTCGGGTGAAAATTTGGAAATTCTTTCAAAAATCAAATAACTGTGAGATTTTAATGAAACTTTCGGGATATATTCAAAAATGAATTTTTTTTTTTTTTTTACATATGTTAGCACACACTTAATTTCATAAAATTTCGAGAAATTAAATATTTAAGGGCGGGGATTTTTTTTTTTTTTTTTTTTTTTTTTATAAGTGAAACATTTAACCCATTCACCAAAAATCTGATCTGAATTGTAAAATAATAAATGCAATGAAACTATAACATTGTTTAATTAGTAAAAAAAGCTTTTAATTGTTTTGATAAATAAGATTTATTAAGGACACTATTGTCTTAAGAAAAATTTTTTCGATGAATAATTAAGTTTTACAAGAATTTTGTTTTAAATTTTAATTAAATAATTTATATTAAAAGAATCGTTTAAAATTCTGCATTGCTTCAAGCCGGTGTTTTTGTAATATTGTTAAATGAAAAGTTTACGAATCAAAAATTTGAAAAGATCATAACAGTCGTTTGTACCCAAATATTTTTTAATAAAATTTTTAAAACTTTTTTAGTGTATAAACATTCCCAATTTCTACCTATGGGAAGCTATACATGACATAATCCTTAAAAAAATAAATATTCTTAAGGGTATTGGCTTAAAATAATAAAAGTTTAAACAATTATGTAATTAATAATAAAATTTTAAAGTACTATAAAAGTTTAATAATAAAATAACCATCATGATAACAATTAATAATAAATACTGTAACATTTCATAAATTATTGATTTTTACTTCTGTCATGGTATTTTATGTCAATTATTAAATTTTAAAATTAATTTAAGAAAATTTTATATTTTTTACAAAGTATATTCGAAGGTAAATAAAAGTCACTAAAAAATTAGATAATTGCTGAAAATATTATGTTAATTTGTAAAACTTACTATTAGTTAAAATTTTTTTTAAAAATGCGTTCACTTAGATTTTGTAAAAGTTTTGTCAATTGTGGTCATCCATACTAGCTTTCATCACCTCATAACTTATCGATTACGTCGATAACGTTAATAAAGTCATGATCAAAGGAGGATCCGTTGTTAAGAAATGCTTGTATACTATATTTTTTATGCTATTAAGTAATATTTGTTTCAAATCAGATTAATTTAGCTTTAAATTTGCTAATTTTACTCAAATAACGTGTCACAACAAATATGTTATTTAATTTTTGAAAAGTTTAAAATCGAAAATTTTTTTGTTTACAAATTTCTTAAAATTAAAAAAATGGCCGCTTTTAAGAAAATTTTCTTTAATCGGTCGGAAAGTTGAGATTCCAATCTCTATAATTTTTATTTAAAATACATCTGAATATTTTAGTTACTAGAAATAGTAAATTTAATCATTTAGCTTTCAATTAAAACTAAAATGAAATCTTCGGGAATGTTTTTTTCCTTTTTAAAAATTAATTTTAAAACTTATGTATCGAAAAGTCAATGGAGGTGCCTACCATAAAGGAAATAAAAACAAAACTAAGGAAGGAAGGAAGGAAGGAATATAATTATTTGCCTAATCTCATATTGTTATTCATTAATTAAATTTTCAAGGGGAAAAAAACTCGATCAATAAAAATCAGTTTCTCTTCATCAGAAATTCCAATCAGTTGAATCGATTAACTGATTCAATTGATTTGTTATTTTTATTCCCATTTCAAAATTAAATCAAATTTGCTTCCACATTTTCTGTCAACCATTGGTGATTGGGGAATAAAATTAGCAAAAAACGAAAATATCTAGCAAAATTAATCTTCTTTTTTCATACAAATATTAAAGAATTTTTAAATGATTATTTACCTGAACTCATATTGTTAAAATAAATCATTGAAAACTTTAAAGAATTAGATTAAAGGAAAAATTAAAAATAAAGCATAAGAAGAAATTTATTTATTTTATTTGTCATATTAAAAAATATCAAAATTTATTGATGAAAGAAAAAGATAAAAATTTATTTTATTTTTTATCTAATTTTGAAAATTTTCATTAAATTTTCTCCGTCGTTTTGAAAACAAACAAACAATTTTCCTGGAGAAACAAAAATGTTCGGTAAATTTTCAGATATTTTTGGAAATTTGAACAGATTTTTTTTCGGCAAAACAGAAAAAATTCCTTCTTGGGTAGAAAAATAAAAATGTCCAAATCCATCTCCACAAAAATCAGTAATTTCTTCTTCAGTTTGCACCGTTCGAAGAATTTGTCCATTTTGATTGAAGATAAAAATTTCCGACATTCCTCGTCTTGTCCCCCACAGATTCCCGGTCGAGGGATCGGCACGAAGTATAGGGTCAGAAGAATGATCCAACCCCAGCAAGCCCCCAATTTGGATTGTTTTTATTTTCTTTCCGTTTTTAGAAAAACAAAAAATTTCTTCAAAATTCGAATCACAAGCGAAAATTTGTTCGTGCATTTGACACAAAGAATAAAATAGACTTTCTTCTCTGTCAATTTTTTTTTGTTTTTTTAAAAAAGGTGGACTTCTTTTTCGCGCCAAGAACAAAAGTCTCCCTCGCCACCGCGACCCTGACCACAAAGGACCACAAATAATCAAAATGTCTTCGGAAAGTCGACAAATGCCCGAGGGGAAGAATTTCTCACCTTTGTCACCAAAGGGATATCGGTCGACAACTTCCCCAGACTCGGCAAATTCCTTGATGGATCCGTCGTCCCCATCGACAACAAAGACATGACCGTCCTCGTCGCTGCCGACAATCGAAAAAATATTCAGATTCAAATACTGCAGACTGCATTCAGTTTGCAGCTCCAAATTCCTGGATGTTTCTACCGTGAAATCGACCATTTCTTCTTTCAGTTGGTTTAAGGATTGATGGCACCATTCTGGAAAGGTCACAGCCAAATAACCTTCCTCGACCGGAGCGAACGATTCGTGGAGCTGCGATGAAAGCTTCGCACCCACCGACTGCAAAACGCAAACAACATTCTCATCGTCGTTGCCAGTGCCTAATAAATGGCGCAAACTGTTACGCCACATTCCCGCCTCTTTCAAAAGGTCTTCTTTCTTCTGCAAGGAGAGGCGCCATTTACTCTGCTGTTCGGATGTCTTTCGCCTCATCTCGTCGCACAGTTCTTCAGCCTTCAGCCGTGCCTCTTCTATAAACGCGTCAAATTCCTGCCAGACTTTTAAGCACTTCGATTCGCAATCCATTGACAGTTGGTCAATAGATTGCTTCGTTCGTTCAGTCCTTTCACAGAGCAGCCTTTCGAAATCTTTGACAATTTTCTCCAAGTCGAGGACGCGCTTTTTCGCTTCCGATCTCTCGATCCTAAAAGACGACGAAGCCATTTATTTTTTCTTTAAGGCAAAAAGCAATCTGAAAATGGAAAGAAAAATTATTTTTATAAAAGTTGTCATTGAATAAAAAATTAAAATAGTTAAAATTTCAAAACCATAAAACGTCGATTTATAAAACCGCAACTCAAATGAACAGAAATTTTCAGATTTTAGAAGAAAAACAAATCGATTTCCTGAAAAAATTTTTTCTTTCAAAATTAAAAATAAATGAAGTGGATGTGAAGAGAGAGTAAAATAAAATATGAAGGAGTGGGGAAGGAAGAGTAATTGAGAGAGAAGGGAAAGAAAATAGAGAGTGAGAAGAAATCGAAAGCAATAAAGGTAAGAGTTGTTATCGATACAGAAAGTAGAGGAGAAAGAGAAGAACAATTCGAGAAAGGGAAGGAAAGAAAGGGTGAAACAAACAGGTGGCTCCAATTTGCTTCCTTCACGATCGCATTTAACATTCAAATGTTACAAAAATAGGTTGAGAGTCCCTTTTACCGGGTACCCTGTAGGGTGGCAGATGAGAAGCAACAGGATTCAAGATGGCAGTCGTTTATTGTTTGCTTTACTAAGCAATTCTTTTTTAACGACAAAATTGAAGACAACTTAAATAAGCGAGTCTTTAGTAGCCCTTATTTCAATTTTCAAACATTTTCTTGAATTTTATTGGTTGTTAAATAAAAATAAGCTTCGAGAAATTTCCATAACAAAACAGTCAAAATTTGTGCAAAAATAGGCTCAACTGACATAAAAAAAAATCTCAAATTCATCCCTAATTTAAATGTTTCAAGAAATTATATTGGCTAAAAACATAAAAAATACAACATTCGCCCACGCATTCCTCAAAAAAATTGCAACAAGCTACCAAGCCGCTGGAGCCGATTTCGTTGTTAAAAAAAAAAAGATAAATAGAAACAGCAAACGAATTATCGTCGCATTTTGAAACTCACACGCGCGAAAGATACACACGGGAATTATGTGTCAAAATTGCCACCAAAGAAACAAACTTTCTTTATGAGAGATTAGAAAAATTCATATAACAAACTTTTTCACTTATCTGATAGAAAAATCTTTTGTCTTTTGTTAAATTCAACCTTTTTTAATCAAAGGAAGACAACTTTTTAGACATTAAACATTTCTGAAACAGCAAAGAACTTTTTCTCTTAAATATACTTTTGCACACATCATTACAAACAAAGAAATTGTAAATTGTGTATATAAAATTGAATTTGTTGTTTCGAACATGTATTTTTGTTGTGATTGAATATCGTTACCATTTGGCCATTTTTTATAATTTATGTTTGTGGATATTGCATATTTTATTTGCAGCATCACAATCTTAAATATCCACGCATCCTTCTTACATCTATTACAAGTCCACTAATTAAAAAAGTTAAAAAAAATGAGATATTTTTTTGCGGGGTGGGAGTGGAAAGTATTTTTGTAGATTAGTATTTACTAGACTTTCAAGTCACTTTTTTTTGTCAGAAACGAAAATTTACTTTTTACAGAAACGGTATCCAGTTTATAATATCAGTCAAGTGTAAATACGATTCCCGACTTTTTACACATTTATTAGACATTTTTTATATTTATTTTATTACAAAGAAGAAAAAAAAAAAGAGAAGATACATACGTTTTTGTATGAAAAAAATGGCATAAATTAATCAAAGTATGAATTCGTTTCTTCTTCATTTGAGATAAATAATTATTCCCCAGTCTTTGTAAATTTACTTACCAAAGACATCCCAACACAAAAAAAAAATTAGAAAAAAACAATGTTTAATTAATAAAATTCAAATAATTTAAAAAAGCGAAAAATATGAAGATATCGCTGATGGAAGTATTTTCAAGTTTGATTATTTGTAAATAACAATTAAGTCTAAATAATTCTTTAAATTTCAAAGATCGATTCTACAGTGTATCGATATTAAAAAAAAGATGATCTCCGCCTAAATCAGAAAGAAGGAAAAACTTTTTCGATTTTGAAAAATGTTGTCGTCGCTCAAAAATCAAATGAATTTTATTTTTAATTTACAAAAATTATTCACCAAAAAATATTTTCACTATTTTATTACGAATGGACCCATCGATTTAATTAAAGACAGTAAGTGAATTAAATTTTCGTAAATATTACGAAAAATAAAGCAGAAGGAAGAAAGCAAAGAAAACATTTTCCATGATTAAAAAAAAAAAAAGGAAATAAGCTGACGATAAATAATAACCGTCATTTTCAATCCTTTATTGGAAATACTTTATCAGAAATTAGACATTTTTTAAAATTCTATGAAGAGAGAAAAAGGTTTTCTCTAAATATAAATTCAGTTAAAAAACAAGAAAAAGCAAATAAAACCCAAATTTCTCGTTGTATTCATGAAAAAATTTTTTGAAAATTCGATTTGGAAATCGATAGGAAAATTCTGACTTACAATTGATTTCGTTTTCGATTTCACTTGAGTAAAATTAGTTTTTCTCCCAAAAGAGGGACTCAAAATATTACGTCTTCTTCGTTGTGTCCGTTTCTCACAAAGTGAGTCCAGCAACAAAAAATGCTGTGACGTCATAGGTTTGTAAAACGATATTTCATTGGACGAAAATAATTTCCCCCCTACCCGGACTGGGGGCGTTTTTCGTAGATAATAAGGAAGGAAAAAAAGGAAACGGGTAATAGATAAATGAAGGGAGGAAGGAGGAATAAACAGTTCTGAGAAAAGTGAGAAGAAAAAGAAAGGTTGTATGAAATAGGGCGGGGGATTCCTGTCCTCTTTTTCAAATTGTTGACCTCATTTGAATGGAAAAAAACTTTTAAATAAATAAATAAACTTCAAATGTGATAAATATTAATAAAATTTAATTTAATTCCATCAAGTATGTTATGTAAATAAACCGAAAATGTCGAATAAAGTTTGAATTTATATAAATGTTTATTTGATAAACTATTTCTCTTTGTTGGAATCAATTTTTAATTTATTTTCTTTTTTTCAATTCGAAAGAAAAAAAAATATACATTTTTAGGTAGGTAGCTCCAAAAATTCGGTATACCTAAGGTTTAAATGTATTTTTCATAAATGAAAAATCCTTTTTGAAGCTTTCCCCCAGCTTCAATTGAAAGCTAAAGGATTAGATTTTCTCATTTCAGAAAAAAAATACTATTGAGTATTGGAGTATTTAAAAAAAAAAAAAAAAAAAAAAGCAACAACAATCTTAAAGGCCATTTTTAGCTTTTTTAGAGAAATGTAAACTAAATTTTTTTTTTTTTCGTTTTTAAAAATCCGGTAAATTTGCTTTTTAACGCCCGCGCTAAATATCTCATAAGATTTTCCCAAATCGTCATAATTCCGTGTAAATGTACATGCTGAACTAGAATTAACAATTAAATTATGAAAAAAAAACACCGTTTTGGAGTTATCGACAAGAAAAAATCCGACTAATTCTGGGTAATTCGTCCGCCATTACGGGCATTGTTTTTACTGATTAACCGCGGGGTATTTTCGTTGGCGTAAGCATAAATTTTGGCCTATTTACTTCTTTTACAGAATTTTATCACAGAAATCACTACGCACTATCGTAAAGCAATCTATTTTTTTTTTTTTTTTGATAAGTGGAGTTTTATTTATAACATAAGATTATAAGCAAAAACAAATTAAATAATACAATAGAACCTTTTTCCGTGTAGAATAGCAATGACAAATTAAAAGAACAAATTAAATAATATAATAAAGCTTCATTTTTAAATTGAAAGTGGACAAACTGAAAAAAAAACATTAAATAATGAATACGTATTTCGTTTCTAGCATTTTTTTATTTTGTAATTTTATTTTGTATGTTTATGGGTTAAGTTTAGACTTTAGAGTTAGCTGTTGGTGTTAGGATGTGTGTTTGGCTTCTGTGTAGAAGGGGACAAATTAAAAAAATTAAATAATACAATAAACCGGGTTATGTTTAGGTTTAGGGTTAGGTGTTGGTTTTAAGGTGTGTGTTTGGCTTCTTTGTAGAAAAGGAGACAAATTAAAAAAAAAAAACATTAAATAATACAATAAACTGTGTTAAGTTTAGGGATGGTGCTAGGCTTCTGTGTAGAAATGGGGACAAATTAAAAAAAATATTAAATAATACAATAAACCAGGTTAGATTTAGAGTTAGGTGTTGCTGTTAGGGGGTGTTTGGCTTCTGTGTAGAAAAGGGGGACAAATTTTTTTAAAAATCAAATAAACCCTTATTTCGTTTCTTTACCAACTTTAAAATATAAAAAATTCTTCATTGTATTATTTAATTTGTTCTCTTAATTTGCCATTGCTATTCTACACAGAAATAAAAGTTTTATTGTATTATTGAATTTGTTTTTGTTTAAAGTTTTCTGTTATAAATAAAACTACACTTATAGAAAAAAAATGCTTTACGATAGTGCGTAGTGATTTTTGCACCGAAAATCTGTAAAAGGAGTAAATTGGCCAAAATTTGTGCTTTCGCCGCCGGATGTATCCCGCAGAAAATTACTAAACTTTATCGCAGTAATGGTGAACGAATGACCAACAAGAAGTTCGATTTTTTCTTGTCGATATACTCCAAAACGTTAGTTTTTTCTCATAATTTAATTGTTAATTCGAGTTCAGCATGTACATTTACACGGAATTATGACGATTTGGGGGAATTTCAAGATATATTTAGCGCGGCGTTAAAAATAAATTTACCAAAAATCCCGATAAAATAAGATATATACATTTCTGAAACGTTACTTTCGTAAAATTAACAAATTTAAAGTTAAATTAATCTGTTCTGAAACAAATATCACTTACTTATAGCATAAATTTTTCTAGACAACCATTTCTTGACCTCGGTGTATTGTTATTTTCACGTCTCCATCAATAATTTGATGGCTGAATGTGTTGACAGGTTTAGTATGATGTACCAGAATTGACATAATTTTATGAATTCTAAGTAAGAACCTTTTCTTTTTTTTCTTTAAAATACTAAAAAAAATTTCTTACATTATTGACTTACCTCTA